TGAATAAATAAACCACCTTATCAGCAGCAAGAAGGTCTTGGCCCTAGCAGGTGCTCCTGAGCGTAGATGGTGACAAGTAAGATACAGTTCAAGTTGTGCTGCTTGTAGACCGGCTGATGTCAGTGCTGCTTGCCAAGTAGAGGACTCCTGTAACCTGTTGGCACCCTCCGTGTCCGAGGTGCCTGTGAGCCCCTGCATGAGAGAAGAACGACTCTGGAACTTCTCCTTTGAGCCATTTCGTGAACGCTGCTGTTTTGCTCCTGCTGCTCTTTGTAGGTGGCTCTGAGCCTAGCAATGGCAGGGCTCATAGGGAGGCACAGCTGCAGATAACCTCAGGTCACCGTAAACATCTTGCTGTTCATGGGACTTCTTCAGAGCAGTGTGATTCCAGCACGTGCGTTTGTTGTGGAGGGGCTGATGCATGCAAAACCCCCTTTGGATCTCAGTGGGAATACTGTGTGCAGTCTCTGGTTCATAGGTGCCCATCCCACAGCGAGCCAAGTTTGAAAATGTCCAATTTTAGCAAAATCAACACCGTTACGTTGCACAAAATAGAACCTCCCTCGATGGATTCCTCCTCCTGTTTCTAACAAAGACCCTGCAGCTTACTTTAGCCAGACAGTTTGGGGTTGGTTTGCTTTAATTAGAATTCAGATCTGAGCAAACAGGAGCAGGGAAAATGGTATCTGTGGGTGGGGCTGTTTTTAATGCAGTGTTGCTTGGTGATTCTCATCCAAAAAGAGATCTTGGGAGCTCATGCTGCATTTTAACTGCAGAAGTGGGAAGGTAAAATGGAAGCAATCTGCGCCTGGAGCTACGTCTTCTGAATCTGAGACTTAAAGAAACGGGAGTCTGTGCTGGGATCAAGGTGGTCCTGGGTGAGGTGGGCACAGGGGACCTGGCCCTGGCTTAAGTTGCATACTGAAGACCAGAAGTGAAGAAGGGCAGCAACAGTCCAGGAGCATCTTGGCATGAGGAGCAGTGGGTACCGTAGAGCTGGTTTGGCATGGCAAACAGTGTGCAAGAAGAGGCAGCCAGTGGGCTGGCAGTGCACAAGGATGCAAACCTGGGAAGGTGCAGGAGGGAGGTAGGTTTGCTCACTGGAATATTCTTTGAACATTGCAGTGGCTTCAGAAGTGTTTGAGGATGACAATGGCAGCAGCTTCGTATCAGAAGAAGATTCAGAAACTCAGTCCGTGTCCAGCTTCAGCTCTGGTCCTACGAGTCCCTGTGAGGTGCCCACTCAGTTTCCTCCTGCAATGCGACCTGGAAGCCTGGATCTGCCCAGCCCTGTATCCCTTTCTGAATTCGGGATGATCTTTCCTGTCCTCGGCCCCCGAAGTGAATGCAGTGGAGCATCTTCCCCTGAGTGTGAAGCTGACAGAGGTATGCACCACTGGATACACTCTAGGCCAATGCTTTTCAGCTTTATGAGGGGAGCAGGAGCTGAGCTCTGCCCAGCTGGCTGCTTCCTTGGGGAAGGCAGGTCCTGAAAGCCCTGCATCCCACAGTTAACAGTGGCATCTAAAGTGGTGTACTGATGCTTCTCTTGGCTGGGAAGTCAGTTCTGTCTTGGTGGAGGGGTTTGAGGTATCTCACAAAATAAGTCATCAATGAGATTCTGATGGGACCTTTATTTTAAGGAAAATCTGAGTTTTGGGTTTTTTTTTTTTCTCTCCTTTCTTTACAGGGGATAGGGCAGAAGGGGCTGAGAACAAGACAAGCGACAGAGTGAACAAGAATAGGAGCAGCAACAGGAGCAGCTCCACTGAAGGGCTGGCTCTGGATAACCGAATGAAGCAGCTCTCTCTTCAGTGCATGAAAATCAAAGAGGGAATATGCTCAGGCAGAAAAGCTGCCCAGATTGGCTGAGTCCTCTTTGTGCCCCGTCCTCATTAATGGGAGTATAGATATTTATATATGAACTTCTAAGTGTTTGAAGAACATTGTGCCAATAATATATGCCAAATCTGAAGCGTTTACTCTGAGAATTTAAAACTGCACTAAGTCTAATTGATGTGGAGGGCTGAAGTTTTTTATTCAGTACATCCTTTGTAGGCCGGATGCGTTACCAACTGTTTAAGCTGTACTCTGGTTTCACAGACTTTGTAACTTGTTTTGTAGCAGCCGGCTGAAGCAATAACTAGTAATGTTCCCGTGGAAACCCATGCCAGGAGCGGGTCTGAAATTCAAGCCAGACTTTTGCAGAGAGCAGTTTGGCTTCAGTTTTGTAGAACGAAATGCTCTTTAGATATGGTGGATCTTTTAAGTGGTATATTCTTTAAATATCTGTATTTGTCTGTATTATGCTGAAACTGTAGAAATATTTTGTATACAGGAGAGCTGTTGCATGTGCAGGGTCTAAAAGCCTTCACTTTTCCCTTGGTGCTCACAGAAGGGATGAAGACGAGTCACGCCGATAAAAACCGGTGCTGAGAGACAGGCAGATGATGGTAACACTCAGCGGTGGTAGGCCTTTTCAGACCTTCTTCCCAAGTCTGGCTTGGACTCCAAGGGTGATTCCAGTGACCAAAAAGAGTTGGTTGGCTCCTTGCCCTTTCCCTCCCCTGAGAAGTGAAGTATTATTTTTCAGCACTTTAAGTGTTTTGGGGTTCTTCTTCCCCCAAAATGGGAGTTGTAGATGTTTTCAGGACAGTTTTGGTAAGGGATTCACCCTTGGAATATGCATGAAGACAAGGAATTGCCAGTGTGGATTGACAATGTGTTCTTAAGCTTCTCCGTAGGTTGTACCGTGTGGGGTTTTTTAACTGTTAAGGGACTTGGGATTTTAGTATGCCCTAGAGAAACTGTTCAATGAAACTAAAAAGGGCAAGGGTGTGTTTTGCCAGCAGCTGTTAGGCAGTAGTAGTGTCTGGTAATTATGCTAATAAGTGGTAGTAAAAAATCCTAGGACTCTTCAGTTTTGGTAGCTATGCATTTCTGAAAGCACCATTTTATCTAAACCATCTGTTTCTATCATTAATTTGATGGGAATTTTAGTCTTGCCCAAAGTATTTTCTATTCTATGTTTTTGCAGTCCTGCTGTATTTCGTCCCTGCCACAGCTTGTGTATCTCAAAGTTAATGTAAGACTCTTCACACTACAGTAAACATTTTTGTTTTCCACATCCCGACTCCGTGCAAGCCAAATCTATCTCATCTCAAGCGCCAAGAACAGAATTTTCTCCTGCAGCATGTTACTCTTTGAATATCCACTCCTGCTGCAGCCTGGTGTCACTCTGGTATTAGAATCCTTTGCAGTACATAGACAACACCTACCTCCTTGCAGCTTCCTGAATCCCTGCAACCCTGATGTGCTTCTTATTCTAAGCTGCACGAGACCAGAGCTTTAGTCAGGCTTTCCAAAATCCCATAGTGTGCAGGAGAGAGGGAGACATTCCAGTGTGTAGCAAACACCTCTGTGCTTAGCACTGCTGACCTTCCCTGTAAGGCCATGCTGAGCTGGAGGTACAGAAACCCTTTTCATAAAAATGAGATTCAACACATTACAGCTGTTAAGCTTTAATAGCTTTAATTACTTATACATTTACATCTTCCGAAGCCCCTTGCTAGCATTTCCCTCCCCAGCCACTGCTTAGGAAAGAAGTCCATGGTTCCAGTTCTGATATGACCATTACCTGGGGAAAAGCTGGGACTGACAGTACCAAATACAAAATGCAAAGCCATACAGAAGTGGCATGTTGTATTGCATACTTCTACTTAAACTTTTGTAGTTACGCTGTTGTCTGCTGGAGCAATGTGTGTGTTCTGAAGTGTGATACGATGGTAGCTGCCTTCAAGGGTATAAAAATAAGCCTTTGGTGTATCAAAGTACATGTGATCGCTTCAGCTGAAGTGAGAATGTATAGAGCAAAAGTTAACTTAGGAATTTAACTTCTTTGGTATTAATCAAACAATGTAAATGTCCTTTTTGACTAAGTCATGAAGATTGCTACTGTAAGTACACAGACTTACTTCTAATTAGCCGTTGGTCAGACTTGGCATAGATTGTATGATCAAGTGCTTTATCATTGTACAAAGTAGTTACATGAAACCTTCCTGAGGAAAGCAGGGCTGAATCTCAGACTCATGAGGCAGATGGGGTAGAAGCTGTTGATACCATTCATCCACGGTACTTCCTTGAGAACTGATAGATTGGAGTAACCAAGTACTAACCTGTGTCTTCCTAACAAAACTAAAACTGGGGAGGTGTGTCTGTGAAGCTGGCTCATCCTGAGCTATCAGAGCAGCATTTAATCCAAAACTCTACAACCAAGGCTTTACAGAATCTGAGGAGAATGTTGGAGTTCATGCAGAGGCTATCTATCTCCAGCTACCCCTCTGCACTGCTGACAGAGAACTGAAAGTCATTCCTTTGAATGACTGAAAGTCTTCCCTCGGTACTTTAGTAAATCAAAATCTAAATCCTCTTGAAGCCCCTTAGAGTAACTGGCTTTCATTTTGTCCATCATATCCCTCATTGTGTTGCTCAGGCAGTAATCACAACTGCCTAGCATGTGATAAACAACCTGGGAGAGCAGGATGCTTTTTGGTGTGTTTTATGAGGCTTTGTATTTGAATGTTTAAAGGCCTGAACTGCAGGTTTACAGGCAGAAAAGACTTAAGGGGCAAGAGGTGCCTGGCTGTGAAGCTGGAAGTAACATGACCAGTGTACTTTTGATACAGGCTGAGCTCTTGGGCAGTTATGTAAATGCCTTGCTGCATAACACTTCCATGCTTGCATCAGCATCTTATAGTCTCTGTCACATGGATCAAAAATGGTAAGGGGGTATCAAGAAAAGCTTAACCTAGATGCTGTGTTAAAAATCTAAGGTTCAGTTCACTTTCCCATAATTTTTCCTCCTTTGTTTGTGGAAATAATACAGAATTATATATTTGACAAAAAATATCAAAGCAAATCGTAACTGCTGACATGAACTTATTTTTCTCTAAGAAAAAAGGGTAAGAAAATTTTATAAAAGTAATTTGCCACAAGCAGAATCTGTATACTAGAATTTATAAGAATATGTTGTATTTACCTTTCAATATTCCACCTGAGTATTCTTTCCTCTGTCTGAAGGGGAGAAACTTACACTGTTCATGTAGGTGCAATATCTGAATAAGTCTTGCACTGTAATGGACACCAATACTAACCTTAAACCCTGTGTGCTTAAGGGGATATGCACAATCCAGTGCCTGTCCTGCATATGCAAGAAATGTCAGCGGATCCTGGTGGGGACAGGAGCCTTTGTCCTTAAGAAAGTGAGTACATTCCTTGCTTTTACTTTAGCACATCATGAAAACTGAGCCTTACACTCGTCTGATCCAGCATAAGGTTTGGCACTAGCTTGTGCTCAAGAAAGGAAAGAAAAACCCCTTCCTGCAGAGCAGACAGAAGAATGACAACAGATTTTACTGTAGACGAGTCTACCAGCCTGATCTCAAACAGCAAAGGATGTGCAAGAACACAGTGGTGAAAGCAAGCAGTTCTGGCAAAACCTTTTGTCTTGTCAAACACATTCTCAGTTGAGACTTCCTAACTACCCTCACAGGTGAGAAATATATGCAGGACTCCGTTGCCACTCCAGTTTAACCTCAGCTAAAAACAGCACAAAGTTGTAGGGAAAATGAGATCGGAATTAATCTTGTCAGGATGAAGCCATCCTTGGTGTGTACTCCACAAGCCGAGGATAACCACAAAGAACCTAATGTGGTTTATGCTCAGCTTGTGCCTCTGCTGTGCCCTCTGTTAATTTGCTCAATCATCAGAAACTTCCCCGCAAAAGAAGGTAAGTCAAGTCACACTGTGACAAACCTGTCACAAGTTCCCTAGCCCAGATGGTCTCTGCAAGAACTGCAGTCAGAAGGGCAGTGTGTTTTCAAAGGCTTGTGTTTTCAGTGCCCTTGTCAAGACAGACACTTGTTAAACAGCTACCTTATGAAGGAAATGAAACAAAAGGATCTTGTACGTGCTGGAGAAGGCTAATAGCAGACTTCCAGGGGAATGATTTTAGCACACATCTTTCTGGTGCTCCTGTAGCGTGTGTGCTCAGTTTCCCAATGACCAAGTGCCATCTGTGCTCTAAGATAAGATTTAAATGCTGCCTTTTTGCTTAGAAAACCACCAAACCAACCTGAATGGCAAAGAACATTCTTTTTCTTACATGTTTACTTTTAAGAATAAAATCTTAAACCCATATACCTTGTAATTTGGGAGAAGAGAATATCACTGTGAGGTTTTTTTTCCCTTAGCTCACTGGACTCTGAAGTGTGAAAAAATTGCAATAAATGGAGTCTGCCATTTGACTATAATCACTTAGCCTGGTGAGCAGTGCTTGCTCCAATACTAGAGCAGCAAGTCCCCCAGTTGTCTGCAACAGCTGAACTGGCAAACCAGCAATTCCATGCTTTTGGCTAGAACTTAGAATGAGTTTATTTTCTGTGTATGTGTAGTAAGAGTTATTCACCTGTTCTCAGACCGTGGGACAGATCAAAACCACATCCTGAAACAGTAATGTATAGATCTGTCTCCTCACTGCAGCTGCGATACCTTAAGAGGAGTAGTACTGTTAAAGTCTAAGAAAAAAGGACCCTCTTGTTGAGGCAGGAATGTGGTAGGGATAATGTTGTAAACTCCAGCAACTATGTTCTCCAATTCCAAGTAGCAAAATCCACACCTATGATAAAAGAAACTACCTGTTAGAACTAAAATCTGAAGTATGTTTCAAACCTCTTAAGACCTCATTAAGTGAGCATTACCTGTAGTCACCACTGCTCTTTTTCTGAAAGCCATAGGAACCAGGTTCTCCTACTGTCGAGACTGTGATGAGTTCAAAACCAACGCTGTATTGCCTGCAAGCAACACGACAGACTGTTACTATAGTTATTTGGGTCATCAGGATCACCAGGAAGAGGGCTGTTTATTAAAAACTAGACAACATGACTGGAAGACATCAAAAAGTATTGTCACATTTGTGACAGCAATGTTAAGTCAAACTTGCCATGACATGAATGTAGAATTTGGAGGAAAACAGGACACATTTCAGGTTCAGAAGTACAGTACAGGGAAAATGCCTGCTAGAAGTCTGCCTCCACATTTAAGCAGACTTGGACTAGTTAAACTTCTAGTCACTCAATCCCTTGCCACATGGTGCAGATCCTGGGATGTGATCTGATTGCTGTCAGGGGAATGAATGTCAGTGACCTCAGCAGGATTCTCCATGTTGTACTCTAACTTGGGACAGTTTGTCTACTACCTGTTAACAAATGTGACAGGTGCCACTGCCTCATCATTCAGACTACCCACATATGACCTACAAATGCAGGACAAAATACATACAGAACCTGCTTAATTAGCCACACACCTTGTCACTCCATTTCATGACAAAAGCTTCCTCAAAGAGGGGAGGATGGACAGAAAAGCACTGCCATTTGGTGGAGGCACTGCACAGCTTTGCAAAAGATAAAACAGTTGACTGCCTGTCAGGAGATGATACTATTTGGAAGCACTGTATACCGATGGTTTGAAGTAGATCATTAATTTTGCCAAAGGAATTTGACCTGCCTAGGTCTACACTATAGGGCACCGACATCCAATACTTCTGGCTTGCTAGTGGCAGAGTAAATGCACTTTCAGAGTGCATTACTTTCAGAGTAAATTACACAATCAGTAAATGCAACTGATTGAGAGCCTGTAAGGGTTTAGTATCTCGCTTATTAGCTCTACTGTTAAAGGAATTATGATCATAATTAAAGAGGAAGAAAAAATCCTTTGTACCTTCTGTGCAAGGCCTAGCTCTGCTCAGACCCCAAAACTGAGGAGAAAGAAGGCTCCTGCTTTCCTTGTAGGTCAAGGACTTCCTCAGTAGCAAACGTGCAGGTTTAAAATACATTTAAAAGTACTGATGGTGAAGTTAGAAACATAAGCATACAAAAGCTAAGCTATATCCTATACCTTGTTTCAGGATTTTCAGGGAGCTTCCTACCCTCCCCACAGACAATCCTGATAAAGCTTGTGATGCTGTAGCATGTGTTACTCTCACTGTGTTGATGCACACTTATTGTCTACTAACCTTGGTCCCCGTAGCTCAATTAGTAATGGTCCATTCTTGTCCAGCTGGAATTGATAAATGGGGTTGTTTTTGTAGGTGTCTCTGAAATTTCCACATCCTCCAGCACTGTGAGTTTTCCACTGTCCATTAACCTGAAAGAAGTCAAAAGTACAAAGAATACTTTGTATGCTGAGGATTTGTATTGCTTATTTACACACACAAACAAGACTAGAGGCTCCTCTCGCTTTAGAGGTCACTCACTTTAGTAATTTCTGCTAATTTTTAAAGTGTAAGTGAAAGCCTATGTTAAGAATTCAGAAACTTTCACTGCAGCAGTCCACCCACCTTGGTCAAAGCCTTAGATCATAGAATCCCAGACTGGGATTTCCTTGGGTTGGAAAGGACCTTAAGATCATCCAGTTCCAACCCCTGCCATGGACAGGGACACCTCACATTAGACCACATCACCCAAGGCTCTGTCCAACCTGGCCTTGAACACTGCCAGGGATGGAGCATTTACCACTTCTCTGGGCACCCTGTGCCAGTGCCTTACCACCCTCACAGGGAAGAACTTCTTCCTTATATCCAACCTGAACTTCCCCTGTTGCAGTTTAAATCCATCACCCCTTGTGCTGTTGTTACAGTCCCTGATGAAGAGTCCCTCTCCAGATCCCTTGGAAATGTACTGTATTTTTCTCAATCTGTATTAAATAAGTAATGAGTGACTGTTTCTGACTATGACAAACTGTATTGAACAAAAGATTGATATTCCCATCTATCCTGTGACAACTGGACTCTGCAGGCTATTTTGTTTGCTCACACACTCCTCTTGCACCAAACAGGAAACAACAGCACTATAGGAAGTCCAACGCTACTTGTGTTGCAACCTTTGCTCTTGAAACCATTGCCTTCAGCCCTGTCCATTCACCTCCATGCACTCTGATAACGCGTTACAGGGGCAAGATAAACAATAAGGACAGATTTCACGAGGACAAAAATACAAAAGGAAAAATGCTGCTCTGACTTTAAGAAAATGGGCCATCTGTTCGCAAGTTCCTCCTGCTAGTCATTAAACTGAAAGGTTAGACTTGCAGGACATGCCAGGCATTCACACAAATTTATAGCCAAGATCTGTTTCTCCTGTTACCTCCCTCTCCTTTCAGTCAAACAAGGAGCAACGTTTCTTTTTAACTCTTGTGATTTAAGTCCTTTGCTCTGTGTCCAAAAGCCTCAAACATGGCAAGTTTGGAAGCAAGGGGAATTTCTTCCCTCACCAGGCTACTACCCAGGAACCTAAACCTGCTGCCTGCTGTAGCTTTCCAGGCCTTTTCCACCTCTGCTGCACTCGGGTCTAAGAATCCCCTTGGTGAGCTCCAGAGCCAACCACTCAACTTTAGTATAAGACATCTAACACAACTTGCTGTTACCGGTAAACTGCAGGTTAGTTATCTGCAAGGTAAGTGTGATGACTGCTAAGAAAAGACCACATAAACATTAAGCACAGCTGATTAACTTTTGTATTTAGTCATAAAGGCAGAGCTGGCCCTGGATAAGTTGAACATGCCTTTTATGTGAATACTAGACACACATCTTCAAATAATTAACAGGAGGTTTGCACATACTTTATGCTCTTTTGAAACACACTACAGCATAAAACAGATATCCTGCCTCAAACAGGCTGGTCACCTTCAATGAGGCTTTGACTTCCTAGAGTATTCCACCAAACTAGGCCCAGTTCTTAAGAGCTAAAAAAGACAATGGTTTCGGGACAAACTAAGCAAATCATCTTGTCTTCTTCCCAGGAATTCCTCTAGCCACTGAGTGTTCTCCAGAACAGGCTCACTTCAAGGGGTTGTTCCAGAAATAACAACTGGTATGAAACACTGAACTCAAGAGCCTAGCTGCAAGCTGACATGTCCCTTCTGACCACACAAAGTGATGTGATCATCTCCTTCAGGCATGAGTCTCCTAGAAAATGGACTGTTCCACCATGGCTCAAACTAGCCTTGTTTCCCTCTTCCCACAGAAATCACTGCTTGGACAGAAAACTTCTGCCTCTAGTAGGATTCCCCAGGGTAGGCACAGAGCTTACAGTTAAGAGTTGCTGCCTTATTCTTTCTTGAGGATAAAATTGCTAATACATGAAAATACATGCAAGTTACTTTATCCTGTGAGCCCTTGGCTATATTTATACTTCAGCTGAAGGTATAACTACAGCACATGATGACAGCTGAAATACAAACAGCAGCTGCCCCCAAAACTGCCTGGGCTTCTGACTGTTTTTTCTCTTGCTCTGCCTCTGTACTCTCAGGGGGCATTTCTACATGAAACTTGCCACCAGTATATTGCCTTGATCCCATGTGGCACCATGAATGCTTAGCCCAGTGGTTACAGACCTTTGAGACATTTTTGCAAAACTGGGGAACAGTAATACACTGTGATATTACCATCCTAAGTCCATTTGTCATGGGCTTGCTACTGGTGCCTTTGGTTTGTCAGTGCTGGTTTTGTCCCACCATGCCAAGAGTTTTTCCAAGAAAATCATGCAATTCTTTCAAGGGAGGATGAGCAACACTTCTGCAGTGGTTTTACTCTGCAGTAGTACTAGCACAATCAACCTGATCTCTGCAGAGTAACTGTGTATTAGGGTACGGATTGTTATTCTAAAGGTCATTCTATCCTAAAGGCTTTACAGTGCTTCTGCAATGGTGCAGCTGCAACAACACACTCTGCACTGAAGGTAGAATTTATGCACTAAATGCCAGTGGAAGTTAAGCCTCCATCCATCCGAGTGGTGTGAAAGTGAGCCAGCCCAAGGACTTTTATGTTGGTATGAATTATGCCAACAGAACAGCTAACTGGCAAATTGTATGTAACTTAAATAGAGGGTTGGCCTTGTGCTAATGATGCTTAGATTAAGTTCTCGTTAAGAAGTGTCATTTGTCAGGACATGGCCTAAGCTGGCATTTTTGGGCAGTAGTACAAAAATATATTTAAGCACCTTGTACATTTCAAATATGGAAAAGCCAAACCAGAATTATTATCCAGTGCCCCATAGAAGAAAATATTTCCTTACCCGTTTGGAAATGGTGTAAGGCGTAGGAATCTTGGAAAAGGTGAACTTGCACATGGAATACACCTGTGTTGTAAAAGAAGCAGCTGGTTACATATTCATACAAAATCTTGCACTTCTCATACAAAATCATGACAGGTTAAAATAAAAGAGCAGAATTACCTACTCATCATTTTTAGGTACTTGTTCACTACATGCCTATATTACTCATCAGACAAGTCTGTCTGAAATTCAAAATCCAGAGTAGTCTGGGACTAACAAGACTTAGGTCTACTTAAAGATCTGCATTTTACTTTTTTCAGTGACAAAAACAGACATCAAGCATTGAACATCACATGACTTGGGAGATACAGAAAAACCCAAATACTGAGTCCAAGAATTCAGGAGAAGCTAAAAAACTTTAAATGTTAATTGGAATATAAAATAGCCTCATTTTGGATATATAGAGAGCCAATGCTTTGCCTGTATAGATGTACATCTTTTATTCTAGGAAATAGAAGTATTTTCCAGCTTGTTTAGTTACTGAAGTTTCATTACTCAAAACATACACACTATGTTATTTTAAATATAAACAAAGAACATTATCAAACACTTCATCCAACGGTTCTGCTCCATCACTCATAGCCTTCCTCCCCAAAATAACACTATCAATCCAGAAGTACATTTTTTTAATCAAACTTACAAATAAAAGCTATTTTACAGTTTAGTTGTTTCTATTCATTATGAAACTGACAGTACATACCCTGATGGTGTAATGTATAGTGTTTTGTTTCTCATACTGGGACACCACCAAGGTAAACGTATGGGGCCCCGGGGTGGTCAGCTTTATCTTGGTTAGATAATGAGGACTGTTGATCCGAATACCATCAATATATGGAGGAGGAGAAGCTGGAAAAGAGAAGGATGAACACTTTTCTCCAATCAAAAAAATCCCCTAGCTTGGTAAACTTCTCAGCCATTTTGTATCAATGAATTTTGCCAGGAAAAAGTCAGGTTGTTGGTATTAAGGTTAGACTGTAAGCAGACCTGAGTGCTCTCTAAAGAGCACAGCCTCAAGATTTGCTCATAAAAAGGACAGGCAAGAGCAACTATCACTGGGTACCTTCAACCTTATCAAGAGGTGCATAACACATGACGGGACACAAATTCTACACTTGAAAATACAGCTTAAATCCCACGACCTTCAAGAACTGCTTATCCATCTCCCACCACTGTCACTGCTCGAAGAAGACCTACTGCAGTGATGCTGATATTTCAGGAGAAAGATAAGGCATCTTTGATCACTCTTCAAAACTCTCTCTGAGGAGTTTGCTCTTTCTCCATTGGTTGGAGAGTTCAGAACGCAAGCTGCCAAATCTCTGGCCACTAGGAAAACAAGACTTTCAAACATGTTAATCGCTTTAACTAAGTCACACACACTTTCTCTCTTTCTCTCTCCAAATCCTTGTGATCATTATACAGATGTAGTTGATTCGCAGTACCAATGCACATGCACTACTTATGATAAACATCCTAAATATCTGCTTTTACAGTTAGACAATGTAATTTGTTATTTAGCCTCTAGCTGGTTCTTTCCAGGCTACTTTTCATTTCAGGGAAGCAGGAACACGTCTAGCAACTACTTCAATAGGCCCAGGATCACATCCTTTTATTTTTTCCACTAAGCAAGATGGGAGAGGGGAAAGGATTACTATAAAACAATAAGCAGCTTAGGAAAGGGAAATCTTCACCTCACTGCTAAGGGATCAACCTGCTTTGTTCCAGTCTCATTTTAACAGATGGTAAAAATAATACTGCAGCTTGACCAATTGATTTCCATGGAAAAAAAATTTAAACAAGTTTGTGCTTGTGAGATTAGAAGTTTATAAAAGAGTTTGGGTAGCGAGACAAAACATATGCATCATCCAGTTCTTGCTAGTGATCTTGGTGGAAGACTGTCTCTTTCAAACACTACTGAACAATTTCTTCCACTATGCAAGCGTGTTTGGTTGCCCACTTAATGTTTTCAGTAAGACACACTGTAAAATAAGCAATGCCACAAGTACTAGTAATACCAGAAGCAAGTCTTGGGCTATATGGAGAAGCAGATGCTTTAACAAGATCAGCTCTTGCAAAAATAGATGATGATTTGCTCAGGTCTCAAAGGATGCTTTCTGCAGACAGTTCAGATTCTAGTGGAACTGGTCAGCAGAATACACTGAATAAGATCAGATGAATAATGCAACCCTTACCAACCATTCCAATAGGAATCCCCCCCACAAATACCACTCTTTGATGAAAAAAGCTTTAAAAGCTACTCTCACATTACCTGTTGCTATTACCTGCTGCATATGAGCAGCTACCTGAATGCAACTCTGGTTCTAAAGCAGATCCCTATATGTAAAAGCAACAGGCCAAATCCTACCTGTCTTTGGAAGCACCTTCACTGAAGAAATCCAAGGAATATCTTTTACAGAGATCTCTAACTTGATGTAAATAATAAATAAAACCCCCCAACATTATTAGCTCTACCTTAAAGTTGCAATCTATCCATTCAACTGGGAATTACTTTTACTTCCTATGTTTCACATCTCCTATCTCTCTTGAAATAAAACACAAACAGCTTTTTTGCAGCTACAAAGCTCCAAAAGCCAAGACCCTTTTTCTCAAGGTGAGTAGAATCTGATGTAGAAGGACCAAGCGTAATACTCATAAAATCTGGACATCTGAATACTTTCCTCAAGCATTCCAGATCCGATAGTCTGACATATGTTGAAGTGTCCAGCTTTACCTCATGAGTCTGCTTAGAAACTTTACTAAGCCAAGTTCACAGAACAATTAACCTTGATTATTTACATTTAATGGAAGCCATAATCCTTTAAATAATGTCAGAAATGGGGGGAATAATTATGCTATCAGATAAACAGAAGCACATCATCTGTTCCCTCTAAATATTAACTACTGCCACTTCCAACATGTACAGCTTGGTTTATTCCTGCAGTGTAGACTGTTGAAGGTGGTCACATATTGACCTAAACAACTGTGTCAGAAGACTGACCTCCTGGGGTAAGGCTTCTAGTTTTAAAGCAAAAAGTGCCTTTTCTCTCCACAAAATCCTTTGCAATTCTTCATTTCCTTCTAACAATCTTCTTGGCAATTAAGGTACACTAACCTGGATAGTAAACTTTTTTGCCATCAGTCTTGTATACAACCATTGTAATGAATTCCCGATTGTGTGCAAAGTCATCCTGTAAAAAAAACACAAATCAAGTAGATTTGTACACTTCTGTGGAACATAAGTAATGCTTCATCAGAATCAATTCTATCATCCCCATTGATCACCAGATGGCATGATCCGATATTAGTATTTATTTAGATACCCAATCCAATCTTATTTTAAAACACCTGAAGTAAATAAACCACCACTGATTTCATTTATAACAGTTCAGGCCCCAGGATTCAAAGTTACTTCAGAACCTTTAGAGTGGAATATAATCACTTAGCTCTATTTTTAATCTGGGTCTATTTCAACGGTCTTGATTGTAGGTGGATGTAGCTGCTAGATTTAAACTGTAGACATATAGATAGACATAAATACCTGAACCAGAAACATAAGCAGTGATATACTAATAACAGAAAGCTATACAGAAAGGCTTACAGAAGATGCTGCAGAACTCACAACACAGGAAAAGAACCCAGCACCTTATCCGTGATGTGCCTGCTGAGCAGGACCCAGACGGCAGCTCCACCTTGTGGACACTGGACCTCTAGCTTGTACTGAGGGTTATTAGCCAGACTGTAAGCATCCTTCACGGGACCTTGCTTGGCATCCCAAGTACTACAAGTAATGCAGACACATGATTAGTTGAGTAAGACATTATCTGGTGCTTTAAAAATCAAATCATAGAATGGTTTAGGTCGAGGGGACCTTAAATATCATCTAGTTCCAACCCCTGCAGGGACACCTTCCACTAGACCAGGTTGCTCCAAGCTCCAGCCAACCTGGCCTTCAACACTGCCAGGGATCCTACATCTATTCAGAGCTATCTATTATCAGTAACACGGTTACTGAAGGCCAATATTCTACTGGACTCTATTGCAGTGGCTGGACAACACAATCACATCAGAAGCATTACCTTACAACTTTGTTTTATAAATTATTTAGCAATACAAACAGCTTGGCTGCTCAGTATGGTGACTGCAACCACACAAAGCACAGAAAAAGCCAAACCATTCAGAAGCCTGAGCTACCTGACTATAGTCATGATTGCATACACTGATATTAAATGAAAGACACCTGTGCTTTTGTAACTACAGAAATCCATATATAAGCTATGGTTACTTTCAAAACCTTGCCAAATTTTATTCCTCCAGTTTTTTATTGAGGTAATTTTTAGTGTAAAATTCCACCTGTTTCCTCTTTGGAAGCGTACCTGCATGAGATGATGTTACAGATCTTTGAGGTACCCTACTGCAAAATCTGCCTGCTGCCTCATGAACCGTCCGGACAAGGAAAATACAGTGTAGTGTGGCATGCTGGGATCAGAAGTGGATAAAGCCACTTAAGTCAAACTGCCCCCCCCCCTTTTTAAAACTGAACAGCAGGCATAGAAGTCTGCATTAGAAACTAAGAACTAAGCTTCAAATTAGCACCATCATTACTCTGCTTTTTATGGCACCTGCCACTGTGCTAGGCATTTCCCTATACAGAGGTATGACAATCACAATATAAGGAAAGACTAGTAGATGAGCTCTGAGATTAGCAAACATGTTATCTAACTTGCTACATCACCACAGTGTATTTTAGAATTAATTTGAACACAAAGATGGAAGGAGCCTTTGCAGATAAGCTCAGTAGTTATACTATGGATGAAGGAGCCTGTGTAGAGCTAACATATGCAGAAACAGTGTGAAAGCAGTGGCAAAGTGCAGTATGAGTAGAAAAATAGAGAAACCTTTGCTTTCTGAAACTGAGGCACACTCATCTTCAAACTGGGGGACAAAAAGACCGAGTATGATGGATACTAGGTAGGAGACAAGTATCGTGTTCAGGAAAAAACAAACTCGGCAAGGAAGATTACTTATGATAACTGCAACTGGGGAAAAACAGAAACTCCTGACATCAGTGAGCACACCCTGTAAAGACAACAAGCACTGCACAACCAATTTACAACTGGCCAAGAAAATGAATTCCAGATAAAAAATAGGTCACTCAAGCACTGTCTGGCCACTTGCTTAAAGAGAGACTGCACAAAAATCTGATTTCTATTCTCTTAGAGAGAGGTGGGACTGAGGTCAGAATCTGGTTATACAGCCTTAGGTCCACAGCAACAACACAAAGGTCACTGGAGTTTCAATGATGTTACAGAAGTAGTCAAAAACAAAGCCTGGGCTCACAGTTTAAAGGCATAAAAAGTCAGGCTCAAGAGAGCATGGTTGAAGTTCACCTCTCCAGCTGTAACTAGGAAGAATGGCAGGAAGGAAACACCACATCAGAATATTCAGTGCAATACCGACACAAAAGTTTTCTCTATTTGACCAACCTGTGAATACACGTAGATTCTTTAAAAAGACTTGGGTTCCAACTCAAATAAATAACATCATAGTGCTGGCACAGGTCCTCCCAGGCAATCCAGAAAATGCCTACAAACGACATGCTGTTATTGTTTCCTTACTAGACACCTTGATTTTACTTGCCTCTTTGTAGGCAAATAAATACAGTTTATATAAGCCAACATTTCTGTAAAACCTTGTATGTTTCTAAACTTTAACTTACCCCCAAAACAAACATGTTAAACCAAGTTAGTTTCAAAAAGGCAGTCTCCTGACTTTTTGAAGCTGTCAGGACACTTTTCATTCTCAAGCACTAAGCATAGTAAGAGGATCTGTTGTATTGAAAGAGACATCACTAGATGATTCCAGCCTTGCCTCCTCCTTTTCTAGGTTTCTCATAGAATTTTAAAAACCTAACAAGATTTTAAAAATTATTACATAGCCTAAAAGGTTCCCCCAATTCAACAATTTACTTCAATACTCATCCAACACAATCAAGTATTCAATCAACATGTGGGTATGTTTGAATGTACTTCTATGATACTTCATCCACCACCTACATGACTTGCTTTGGCAGCCCAAATCTGCTTTATCTTTACAACATTCTCATGTGTTTAATCTAATTATCCATAGCACCTCTAATTGCAACTCCAACCAAGACCACCACCTGCAAGCTGACAGATTCCTGATGAAATGAGCTCTCAAAAAGGTAACAGCCTTGTAATTCAAGTCTCTGACAGAGGCAGCTGCAGATCTTGCACCAATTAAGAAACCCAACCCAAAATAATGAGCTAATCTCCCGTAACTGTCACAAAGCCAGGGCTGCTATTCTTACAATTAAATCAAAAAGTTTTCCTTATACATTTGTATGAATTTTAACAATAAATGTTATAACTTAATACATTTGGATGCACACTGCTGTCAAAAAATAGAGTGGCGCTTAACAAAAGAGCTCCCTTACAGAGCTACGCAGGCAGCACCTAGGATGCTACAAAAAGAGCTGGTATCTCTTTCTGAATGTACAAAAAGAGCTTCTGCAGAATTTCTGAAGGCCCACCCACCAACAAACCCACACTGACTTTCCAGATGCTACACTGTTGCTCCCCAAGGAAGATGGGACAAGACAATGCTAGGCATCATTCCAATTGTTTTTTCTGGACAGTAACATAGCAGTACCACTGTCTGAAAGACAGGTCTTGATCTACTCTTAAAGCCAGAAATAGAGTGTACATAAAGATTTGGTGTGGATATATTAATGTAATGCAAGGAAAAAAAAAAACCACCACTTACCTCCACTTCATAAACTCAAATACAGGCAAGACTGTATTTAAATACTGATTATAAAAAGCATTTTGACACATATTCACAAATTTTGGAGGCAAAAACCCCAAACCACAAAAGGTCTATTCATGTATTAAAGAGCTGCATTATGCAGCTTATTATCAGAATGTTATCTTTGCCCTGACCTTCCCATGCCCAGATACTGATAGCAGCATTTAAGCAAGGAGACAATTTCTTGTCAGTTAATTTGATCTATTTTAAACAGTCCAGATTAAACTTAAACCACAGACAAACCTGAAATTATAGATTTAAATACACAAAGACTTCCTAAACTTTTAAGCTATTTAGTTTTACTCTCCCCCTCCTTGTACTTAAGCATTTCTTTCCACAAAGAACTATATTATCTGAAAAGATAGGGACTTTTTAAGCCTTATTACCGTTGTCGATTTTCTGAGCTGTTCTTGGATCAAAGTTCAAGTATTTTTGTAAATCTGGGGTCCAATTTCTTGTGTCATTTTCACTGTATCGTCCTTTCCAACGTAAGTGACTCCAGGGATTTTTCAGCTGAAGAAACCGAAGTCCCTAAAGAAATAAAACTGCTGGATTTATCTTCTCAAGGTAATTTTTATATTTATATTAACATAGAATATGGACTAACCACTCAATAAAATAGAGCATCATTAAGCTTTCTGGAACTTCCCAATGGAGCTCAAGACAATAAACTATAGCAGCCATCAGAGAAAAAAAATCCACAGCTATCCACTGCAGGCAGTTTTCAAACAGGCATCTTTTCAGATGTTTTCACATTGATACCTTATATTCCCTTATATCCAAGACTGCATATGCATGGGTTGGAACTAAACCCCATTTTTCTCCTTCCTCTTCAGACATCACCCCTGTTGCTGTTGTGATAAGGACATCTCCCTTGTGAAATCTGTTCAAAGAGAGGTGAAAAATAGCTTTTAATTTAAAATTAGCTTTTAAAAAAGCTAAAATAAATTAAAATAGCTTTTAATTTAAAATAGTGCAAGTTTCAAACTAACATTTGCCAGATATTGCAATAATACGTTTTTACATTATCAGTTTTATAAAAACTGGAATAACATTTTCATCAGCAGAAACCACTACTGAAAAAGCTTGAGAAAGTGAAACTATTTTCTTTCAGTATTTAAGTATAGGCTTCAAATGAAAAATATATTTTCATACAATTTCATCATTTCATATTTTTATAAATAAAAATCATCATTTATCAACCTGAAGTTCAATCTCTGTCACCTTTTTAAAGACACTCTTCACACATCTGAAGATCACTATTGCAGTTTTGAAAGACTTCTGCTGCTCCTCCAGGAGATTACTGGGGTATAATAACCAAGGTCTTGTGATATGATTAGAAATACTATACTATATCCGCTTGCTAAGGACAGCAGATCAATGCCAAAGATCTGAAGAACTCTGTGGGAACACAGAACACATGTCCTTCTACTTTTTGAACACTTCTAGCTTGTATATTGGTTCCAAGCTGCTCTTCTCTGACTCTATATCCTATTTTCTTCATCAAGAAATGGCTACTACTCTTTTTCTTCATATGGAAAGAAGAAAAATCACCTCAAAGAAAATTCCACAATATTTCACTCTTCTGTTCTATCAATCAAAACCACCAGTACCTCAAATCTTCTTCCAGAAAGCAATGTGGAGGCCTTATAAAGCACAATTTGCAGCAGTACCAAAACGCTATTAAGGATCTGTGGTGACTGTACTGCTTTCAGAGTGGTAACACAGCTACTAAACAGCAAGCATTTTAAGTACTTAGGAAATGAAAAACTTCTACCTCTGATGAAGTATTCTGAAAGTACTATCTTGATTGAAAGCTTGATTGTCAGAGTGCATAGCAATTCTTTCAGGTATCCAACCAGTCAGTGCATGGAGATCAATATTCTGAAACGCAAACATTCAAAAGAAATCAGAGCAGATGATCCACCTATAAGCATATGATGTCTGTACACAGGTTATAAAAACATCTTGAAAGAAATCAAGTATACACAAGTTACAGTATAGCTCTACACATTAAAGGCTCAAGATTAAGACTATATAAAACAAAGAAAACCTTATCTGACGAGGTTAGGACAAAAGCTGGAAAGTGACCTAAGTGAACTAATGAAAAACTAATTTCAGAGCAATGGAAGAAGCATAAGAGAATGATCTATTGTGCTCAATTCTATGATGTGTTTTATTGAATTGATTCGGAGACTTTTTAAAGCACAGTCTCAGAAACCATCTGCAACTTTGCTATTATACCTGCATTTGAAATTATTTAAGTTTCACTTCTAAGGCTCAGGGTTGGGTTTTTATCCTTTTTGGTAAAGCTGACACTGACATGTATTTCCATAAAAGGCCACTTTAATCTCCCCATTTTATCTCCCTGAAATATTGATTATTCCCTTTTCTTTTGCTTTGTACTCCTCAAAGCAAAAGGAGAAACTATAAATGCTTAAAGTGTTAATAACCAGCACTGGTGAGTAGGAACCCGAGGAATTACAAGTACACCACAGCCTGATTATACAAGGAAGCTATAATACAGTCGAAAAAGGGCAGGAAGGGTGGAGATTAAATGTCAGAAGTCAAGCTGTTCTTCCAGATAGCAAGTTATAGAACAATAATGAGAATAATAAGATTATTAACAATAAGACTCTGTCCTCCAAAATAAAGCAGCCTAACACTGACATAAAACATAAAAATGTATGACAAGTTTACCCCTTATACAAAGCCACATTTGCCTCCACTATCATTTTTCAAAAGACAATGATAACCTAGTATATCCCCCAAGAATGTAATTATTAAGACATCAACTAGAATGTGGACAGCACCATGAAATAAAAATATAGTGTTAAAATTTTAAGCAATTTTAAATTAAAATCAGAAATTCTTCCTAAGTGACAGATGAATATTATGTGGGCTGCCCATTTCAATAACCTGTCCTTTGGAAGAATAGTTTGCATGTCATTTTAGCTGCAGTACAATGACTGTTTCTTTAGGAACCACATTATAGGAACCCAACACATATTTCTGTAAAGGAGTGTAAATCTGATAAACAAACTTGCACAGATCAAAGTACTTGCTCCCTCTATATATATGTACTAAATGACTAGCCTCTTCCTTTCCTAACCAACTGCCCTATCTACTGAATGACAGTTAGAAACCAAAATCAGCAATATCGAAATAGGCAAAAAATAATTACTTCACCCAACACAGTCATCTAGATTATACAAATACATGTCCTTCCCAACCAAAACCATGAAACAGTAGAGCTAGGCATACTTGTGAAAGAAAGAAAAAGAAAAAAAAAAAAAAAACAACAAGAAAATGTGAAACCAAATACTTGCCTCCCCAAGCAATTTACTTTGAATTCACTAGAAAGAAAATTATTTGACCCAAGATTATCCAAGAGGAATTTTTTGCCTTTTAGAAATAATCACAAACTTACAGAATTTGATCCAGGAAAATCATATCCTCCCATGACCTTCATGTAAGCCTTTTCTATTAATGATACCCATAATTCATTCTTATTGTTAGAATAAGAGCAGAGAAGTTCTCCACTATGATCAACAGGTAACTGGTCATCTATGATTACCTGTGGGAAATAAAGGAAAAATCATCATAATGCCAATAAAGTATTTTGGAAGTATTTTAAGAAATAAGCCCAAACTTACATAAATATACAGCTTTTCAGACACAACCAGCCCCGACCATCATTCTCGCATATGGAAACTTCTAACAATCCTGCAATGGTTTGCCCAAGTGAACAAGAAATTCTATTCCAGGTCTATAGGTGACCTGTGATAACATGCCTTGCTTTCTCCTATGTAAAATGGGGATGAAGACAGTACTCTCTTGTAAAATATTGAATACCTATTGTATTCAGTGAAAGGTAGCCACAGAAATATTCAGTGTAATTATCAGAATAAAAGTCTCCCCAAACCATTTACCTTTCTAGGTACACCATTGATATGAAGCTTTACCATGTATTTGCCACATGGATTATATTCTGGTTCTCCTTTCTTATTCTGAGGGTAAATGATACTGTTAAAGAGAAAAAAAAAAAGAAATTATGACATAAATATCTTGGCGGCACACACACTGATAACAGAAATGGGATTAACACAGTCTATTTCTAGAATTTACACTCAACATACATATGGTAGAGCAACTTTAATTCAGTAAATACAAAGATGTTTAAACAGGTCTTACTTTTCAGGCCTTGCTCTTGCTGCAGTTCTCTGCTTAATATAGCAATAAAGAGAATATAAGTAACCTAATTGTTTCTCCACCAGAAGCAAGGCAAACAAATTTACCTTACTATTAAACAAATGCTATTTACTCATCTGTAGTATAAATACGGTATTTGCCTGAATGACAAGTCAAACGTCTGAAGAAGGAGAATTCAGCACAGAACTCATTGCTCTCAAAAAAGAACAAGTTCAGTTCTGATGAGTATAGGTTAAACCAAAAAATACCACGAACAGCGTTTACACACTGGTCTGGCAACAGGCTCTTGGCAGTGGCAAAAGCCATGCCAAATTTATCACAGGATGCCAGTCAAGTGGAACTGAGACAGGGCTGTTAACATTAATTCTACAGTGAGATGCTATGCCTGTTGCACAGCAGCTGGCACAGCAAAGTAGGAAAATTTGCATTATATAAAGCATTAGAAAGTAAAATTTCTATTAAAACCCCAACAAAACCTTCCAAACTATTTAAAACTCCTCCAAGCACATCCAAAGTTAAACTCCAGTGTCTGCATACGTATCTCTATAAAGCTGGCCTCCCTCTCTGAAGTGCTGAAGCCACAAGTCCCAAGGAGATGAAAGTGAAAAAAGTGCTGGTTTTTACTGTGTCCAGCTGCAACTGTCATACATACTGCAGAAGCTTGGCAGTTATTAAGTCTGAAAAGATCTTAGAAGGCAACAGCTACTTACCTTGTGATCAATTTTTTGTTGTATCTTCTTTCATATGCTGCACTGATAGCTAGTGATGCCACAAAAGAGCAATCTGACACGATTGTCTATAAAGAAAAGAAAGCCAGTGAGGACATTTACTAATAACTTAGATACTGAAAAACAAATGGGATGTGTGGAGGGAAGGAAAATCATCAGTTAGTTTTTTCCTTCAAATGGGAAAGATTTCAACCAAGAGAAGCAAAGTTACTCCTAAAAAGACAGGAAATGTATGCTTGCTCAACACAAGGTCCCTACAGAGCAAACCAGTTAGAATTACTAGTGAGAATCGGAGACAAGCGCAGATACTTCAGCATTCACTCACACTTCCTCCCCCCTACCCAAAACGAACTGCATAATATAAACCATATCCAATGGCATATTCTACTGTTGATTCCAGTGTAGCTTGGGCCATCTGCAACTCCCCACTCAGCAAGATGCTACCATGATTCTCAATAGGTCACCCTGTTTCCTGTCTAATAAAAACTTAATAATTGCGCTCATTATTTTTTTCCATGCAGTAAATTAAATGAACAATTTGTTGCAGAGTAACCTTACCTTTCTTCCTAACCACTATTTCTGGAAAATAGGATTTTCTGCTGGAATTAAGATTTTGATTTTCACTGTGTGCTAACACAGCTGTTTATTCTCATGGCTAGAAAATGCATGGAATCTTAAGCGATACTAGTTATTTAATCTCATGAGAACCATGGAAAGCACTCCCACATTTGGGGACACTTTTTTGAACAAGAAGGTCCCCTGCAATACACTGCTAGCAGCACACTTTTCTCTTTAGGAACAACTTACCTGCTTTATGCTGAAACTTGATACAGTATAAATCATCGTGGGGTTATTTGTTATATCATCTGGTCGCACCCACTTAGCAAACATTGCTTTCTGTTTGGGGGATAATGGTAGCTTCCCACATTTATCACTAGATTTAAGAGAGAAAAAGAGTAGAAATAAGTCAGTAGTGGAAATAAATCAGCAGTTTAGAAAAGCTTTTCATGTTATGCCTAGTCTTGTATATGTCTGATAGATGGTGCAAAATATGTGCAGAACAATTACACAGTTTTATATACAGAGCTGTAAAACAAATTCAAAGAACACTACTTCAAAGTTTGTGATTTTTAGAGAGAAAAAAACAAAAATATTAAAACCATGAAATGCAACCCAAGAACTTCCTTCATACAGGAGAACTGGATTCCAAAAAGCTATCTACAATAGCAGAAACTCAAATTCTTCACTTTATTTCAGTATGATAAACTAATAATAAAAAGTTTCTTTAGTTCTAAATACCAAGGCTTATCTGTTTGACAAGCCATTAGTGGAAAAAAAAAAGCCACAAACTGAACTAACTCAAACCCAAAAACCAACTCCAGTGTTTTTGTATATTATAGCTATGTAATCTTAACATATTATTATTGCTCATGAATGAAGGTCTAACAGTTACATAGCACTCTTCCTCAGAAGAGTCCTTTTATAGAGGAATTTTCAATCACTTTCATTTTACAGGTAACTGAGAGGGAGGGAGCTAAACTCATTAGGAAGCAGCAGAATCAGGAAACTGACCCAAACTGGTGGTCCAGCCTAATATTCTAAAAAGCCAAACAAAATATTGTCCTTCTGGGCTTGGAGATACAACTGCAAAAAACAGTGCACAACTGGATCAGCTTACGTTGAAATTTTACAATCAGACTAGAAGAAGGAAGTGGTAGTATTTAAATCTCTCTCCCTGAATTATGCTTAAAAGCCTATTCAAACAATTTTAAACTCTGGAAAACAAAACATAGTAACACCAAATATGGGAAAGCTTTGGAAATAAAAACAAAAGTAAAGTTCAGTAATTGAATCACACTTACGAAAATGGCATAGGGAAGGCAAAACGTTCCCTCAGATCAACGCTCATGAAAGGTACATATTCAATGCCATTAATTTTTGAAGTCTTCCTGTAATTCAAAAGAAAAAAGAAGTTACAAACATGTCTATGTTCTTTCAAACACTGAGTTCCAGAATGTAACAACAAACTTAGGTTTTTAAAAACAAACAAGACACAGTGCCTGTGAAAATACCTGCTGAAATGAAACCACCACTATATTTGGGTTTGAAACATGCAGTACTTGACGACTCAGCACTAATCCTGTACATATCTGCAGACAAGTCTCCATGCCAGGATAAAAATGATTATGAGCCACAAACCTCTTGCTACTTTTAGAAGTCACATTTAAAACTACATTTGCCTAAATGGAATTTCTCAAGTCATTTAGGCCTCTCATTAAAGAGAGTTTTAGAGTAAGTTGACAGCAATTAATAATTAGCAACACCAGATTTGGGGCAGTTATTCTGGAATACTTTGTCAAACAACAACAAAAATACTGCACACGTTTATCAATGCATTTTTTTACTAAAATGCACAGAACACCTTCTAAAAAATGAGGATCGTATTTAAACATGAATGTAATTTCAGTTTCAAACAAAGAATTAACTGAAAAGAGCTATGCAAAATATTTTCAAATCAAATCATAGAATCACAGAATGGTTTGGGCCAGAAAGGACCTTAAGATCATCCAGTTCCAACCCCCTCCCACAAAAACCACTAATTACATCACCATAAATAATAAATCAATTTATTAATGTGCAGATAATACCAAAAATGAGGCAAGAACTGGGTTTCCAACCTTCTGCTTATAACCTCGTGCTACAGGGTAAGATGCACAAAGGATGCGAGCACAAATGATGAAATTTGGAAAAACTTGTCTCCAACTTACCTCAGCACTTCAATCTCCTCGGCAGTGTATCTCTGACCTTGAGGTTCACTAGCCTGCACTGCTCTGATTGTCTGTGGTTTATCATTTAAAGAAAAATCAGGTCCCAGTGGAAAGAATGTTCTGACTGGATGATTTGGTTTAGCTGCAGTTGACTTCTTCTGAGATGACTTTGACGTAGATTCCTTCAGTGCCTCTGCTCTAAAGCAAATAAAAATTGTTTACAATGACAGAAAAGCAGTTATGGTTCAATAATTGATTTGCTTGGTTCATGTTCCCACATATGTTAAATGGAATGAACAAATGCCAAGTTGGCCTCCACCACTTTTCTAAGAAAAGAAATCAATTTCTGATGCCAGTATTACTGCATGTTCCAGAGTAAATTAAAATATAGCCTTTCCAACTCATATATAAACTACTTGTGGCAGAACTCACTAGATTTTTATTGCTGTCATGGTTACCTCAGCACCACACAGACACTCGCTCCCCCACCCACTTTTCCCCTTGCCACAGGTGGGATGGGGAAGAGAATCAAAAGAATGAAAAACCCACAGGTTGAGATAAGAACTGTTTAATAACTGAACTATGGTATAACACTACTAATAGTGGTAATAAGGGAAATAACAAGGGGTAAGAATATAAAACCAAAAGGGAAAAGGCAAAAAGAACAATAAATCCAAGTGATGCACAATTGCTCACCACCCGCTGACTGATACCCAGCCCAACATGAGCAGCGATTCATCCGTTCTGGGTAACTGCCCCCAGTTTCTATAGTGGGCACGACATGCTGTGGCACAGAATACCCCTTTGGCTAGTTTGGGTCTGATGTCCTGTCTCTGCTTCCTCCTGGCTTCCCGTGCCCCTCCTCATTGGCTGAGCATGAGAGACTGAAAATTCCTTGATCGCGGTAATTGCTACTGAGCAACAACTAAAACCTTGGTGTGTTACCAGCGTTATTCTCAGACTAGTGCCAAAACACAGCACTGTACCAGCTACCAGGGAAGAAAATTAACTCCATCACAGCCAAAACCAGAACAGTTGCCTTTAAATTACGTTAATAGGAGAATTGGTGTAGGTGTTCTGAACTTCCAGGTAATGAACGGGGCCACTGAAACACAGGCAGAGAAAACTGATATGCGTCCCCTCATACCTTCAGGATTTGATTTGTCTAACAGCTACAAAAGCAGAAAAAAACCCACTAGCATTCTCACAACCCAGCATTTCAATGGCTGGAAGGCTGTGTATTCAGAAGCTATGTTTGCTGCTGTTGCATTAAGCTGATAGATAGTCACATACATGCAAAAAGTTTTGTTTGTTTCTTAACACAGACTGAGAATGCTAAAAATCAGCTTACGCTGAAATGTAGCCCAACACAGTCCATTATTCAGCACCAAACAGCTGATTTGAAAAGAATTAAGAGTGAACTTATGCTCGTGTAATTTGTTTCAGATATAGACTCCACTATACCTACCCTACAATTAGATTGCTACCATCAAGATAAGCATGTCCGGGTTTCCAAACTGTCTTCCTGATGAAGGGACATTGACACCCTATCCGTTTCTCTGTGTTTCACACAGAATGTGAAACATCTCTGTGTTTCAGCATTTTCATAAAAGCCAATAATTGTAGTAGAGTACTCCAATTTATATCTCTGAATACTGAAGTAGTGGGTTGGTACCAACAAATACACAGTCCTTTCCTAATTCTGAATGCTCCAATATTCCCACAGGGCTGGCACAAGAGCTGCTGTAGTCAGTGGCATAGCAGCTGGCAGCTATCTGCAAGGAGATCTCTACAGGAGCAAACTTTACTCAAAATCCATAGTTTGCAGTATGGAATAGACATGCTAGATTGAGAATCCAACTCATAGAGCACATTTAGACCTGACAGCAAGTATCTTCACTAACATTAGCAGTACTCACCTATCCAGTGCTTGTCGAGCCAGCTGTTTCAGTTTGGACTGGAGGCCTGCTTCTGAAGTTTCAGTAGCCTTAAATACAAAATAAAAGGAAAAACCTACATATCCAAAAAACCCAGCAGTTTTATAAGCTCAGTTTGTAAAATTCCACACTTACAGGTTGCAGCAAAGAGCAACTAGTTAGATTTTTAACCTGCAAGCAAAGGCATAAAATAATCTATGAGAGGGCACTAAAATAGGTATCAAGAGTCCTAACTTCTCAGTTAGGAGGTCAGCTATGACAGTTTATGCTTTTGTTTTCCTTACAGATGAAGCATGGCTACTGCAGCTAAAGAATCTGCAAGAGGCACAGCACGAGGTGTGCCTTCTCCTCTAACACCCACAAGCAGGTTTCAAGTTCTAGACTTGTACCTTTACAGATTCTACTGAGTCAGCTAGGTCAACTGAGGAAACGGAAGGCAAGCTAGTTTCACATCAAGAAACAAAACTAGAAACACCCTTTATAAGCAAATATTTTCATTTGCAATTAAATTACACTCCAGAGTTCCTGGTTAGAAAGGACTCTGAAAGATGTATGAAGATAAGCAGGAACACCAGCACACTTATCTAGGAGTCAGCCATAGAAGAGGAGGAATGGCTGCTCTCCAAGTACTTCAAGAGTAAGGAAGAACTAAATCTCTCCACTTGAAATACTGAGGAGAAAGAAGTAAAGCTTCAAGATAGCAGAGTTCCTTCAGTCTTCTTTCATCCTGGGAAGAAGAAGGTGGTACTTTCTGACCACCCTGAGGGACAAAGCCTACAGTCATTTCAGCCAATTCATATGCTAGTCAAGATTAAAAGAAACTTCACCAGTATCTCTACTTAATGAAATACGTGATAAAGGCAGTTGTTAACATGAGATAATTTCAGACTAACTTCAGTATATGTAAGTAATATTTGCACTCACTGACACAAGAGAAGGAGGAACACAGCAGAGGAAAAACAGTATGCTGCTGCAGTAAATGTTATCTAATAGACTGAAAATGCTCTGCTCCAGCAGCTCAAGCAGAAAAAACTAGAGCAATTCTAGTCCTCATCCGGTTACACTGTATCACCAGGGTATTTTAGTCTACATAATAACAGTTTACAGAATTCAGAAAGAAGATTTTACTCTAGCATTTAACAAACGTAACACTCCCCTCCCAACAACCCACATATATTTACATTATAAAAAGGAAAAAAAAAAAGAGAAAAACAGACTTGGTGGAGTTACATTATGATGGTGAGCCTCTTCCTGTAATGAGTGATTTAAGGCAACTGGACTTAAGGGAAAAAAGCAGTACCTGTAATTACATTCTTCATCATTTACATAATAGCCAATTGATCCTTACCATTAATTTCAGTGTGAATTAAATTCACATGTAACAGTTTTAATGTCAAGCACTGAGTAATCAAGTAGTATTTTTACCAGTTTTGGCATCAGGAGTCTGTTATTTTCTCAGAAACTGTTACACACAAAAATTCCCCTTAAATTGCTTCCTTTAATGTAGTCAGAAAGCAATACAGCTGACACATCAGCCAGACAGCTTCCGTTTTAACTGGTTTAATCTCTGTTTTAGTGTTGCATCTGCTCCAGAGCAAAAATTAACATGCAAACAGTTACAGAATACTTCTAGGTTTTAGTATAATCCATTTCAGGAAAAACACATAAATCTCAAGTTTTTTACACTGTTAAATGGCAACATAGTACAAATCCTAGAAGAAACAAACAAACAAAAAAAACCAACAAAAAACAACAACAAAAAATAACCCCAAAACAAAACAAAAAAAAACCCCAAACAGTGGAAGAAGTAAAAAAAAAAAAACAAAAAAAAAAACAACTAAAAACCCAAAAACATAAAACCAACAAACCAATTAAAAATCAGGTTTTAGAAATACAGGTACTCCATTTTTAAGCCAGCCTTTAAGGGCCAGTCACTTGCATAAGTGGAAGAATTTCTTACCATCACATAATTCCACCAAGTTAATCTGTAGCTTAACATACTGTTTTCAAACAGAGTTCCACTGCTTCTGTGTACAACTCTATAGCTTCTTCTGCATTGTCTTTGTCATCTTCATCAAAAGCCTGTGTAACTAGGAAGTGAGCACGCTCCAAGTCCAACTGTTGTTTTGACTTCAGAGGGTCTGTGTTCTGTGACTGAACTAAATGAAAAAGAAAGTATTTAGCTTTCTACAGCAGCAGATATGTAAAAACACCTATGGGTACTGAAACACTGGCAGTTCTAATCAGACAGGCAGTATCTATTTCTTGGCTGGAGAGCAAATCTTTCTTAACTTTGCTAAAAACATCTTTGCAAGGACAAGAAACCAATACCACTACCACCCCCTGAAGAAGAGATACACTCTCAGGGTATTTCACAAGTCAATGTAAATAAAACCTCTTTCATACTATATTAAGGACAAGGATGTTTAATTATGCAAAATAGAATCATAGAATGGTTTGGGTTGGAAAGGACCTTAAGATCATCTAGTTTCAACCCAAAAAATATTGCACCATTTGTGAAAATATGTCACCTATGGTAACACAGAAGTTCCTCAGGTGTCTACCTTTAATATAATTTAATATAATGACCTGAAGGAGATTTCTGTTTTCAGCCATTTTGAAGACCTGACCGGACCTGACCAACCTGGTCCGAAAATCAAAGTCTACAGTGATTTGAGTAGGAGATTGGTCTATAGACTTCCCAAGGCCCCTTTCTGGCCAAGTGATTCTATGCTTCTAACTGAGAATTGCAGATGTACAAAAATTTGAGATTTTGGTGTAAGCATAAACACCAAAACTAGATCAAACAAGGAAACCTTTATGAGAGCAAAGGGCTCTTTGCCCTCTCAAAGTTAGTAATTCTACATGAATACCAGAACCCACTTGCTTCACATCCATCATGCAGCTGAGGCTTAGATGTGAGTTTTGGTTTGTTCCTGAACATTTTTTGTTGCTATATTGAATTACTTTTTCAGGTTTGCTCTGCAGCTGTGGTTCCTAAGAATATTTAAAAGGAAAAGATACCCGCACCCACATCCTTAGGAAGTAAATCTCCATTTCTGACATATAACTGATATGCTTGCTTTATTTGTCGTCCTTCACAAAAGACAAGGAAATCAGAATAATGAAAACCAGTACACATCATTGATACATATTTCACAGCACTGAAAGGCTTTCTACTCAATAAATTTACGCATAGGTTTAGTTAGAATGGTCCTTACCCACCTGCTGAATGAAGAGCTTGAACTCTTTCCAAGTACTCATTTATTTTTTCTTGAATATTTTCCAAGTTGGACCCTGCCATCCCGGCATAAATCAAGGCTTGTGCAGCTTCCTGCAAGGAAATAATTTGAGACAAAGTTAATGTTTGCTGCCTAGAAAATTACTTCCCATAAAGAGAGGGCCTACAGGAGCCATAAACTGGGTGAAAGCAAGCTCCTGCATCTGCAACAGATTAAATGGATGCAGGGAAGTTGTGCTGGAAATAACAAATTTCAAGTTACAAATTAGATTATGTTCAAGATCTCACACATGGGACAAGCTGCAATATCAAAAAAAAAAACAAACCCAGAAACCAAACTTTGGAGGTTCTGTAAGGCCAGATCTTACATCTGCCTATACAGGAATGCATGGAATTAAGAGATTTTAAGTAAAACCAGCACGTTCCAAACATGCACTGAAATCAGTTCAGTAAAGCTCACAAGCCACAAACTGCCCTTTAATTTTAAAGCTACAGACTTGAGGTTATGGGCAAAAAAAAACATATACCAAACACTGGATGAAAGCCTGCTTTCAGGACATTGCATAGGCCTCCAGCTCAGAAGCACAGTATATTACCTGCATGAAGGCTTTTTCAGACTGTATAAATCTATTAAGAAAAAAGACCTTCAGTTGCATAAGCTGTCTATCCTTTCACTAAACTCATAAAAAACCTATACGGCTTGTCGGGGTTCCAATAAACAGAACTGGCACAGCATCAGATGCATAAGGAGAACTGAAATTTGCCACTCGTAAAGATGAGGATAAAAACTCTATTCTGTCCTCATTACTCGCATGGAAAAATCCGCTTCTGTGGCAGCGCTCATCTTCCCAGCAGCAGTAGAGGAGGTACTCGCGTAGCAGGCTGAGTATGCAGGAAGGAGATCAGTAACTAGAGAGCTGTTCCACAAAGATGGGGCTTGGAAAGGCTGCAGAGGTCAAGCACACAGCCATGGCCAGAGGATTTCTCTTGTGTGCCTTATGGCCATGATTTCTGTCAAGCTTAGCAGTTTGCCCCATCTGCCCAGCTTAGGCAAGCTTAAAACTGATCCCGATACAACCTGTGCTTGTTATCAGGACAATTTCTCATTGACAAGCATCACAGAACCAAGTACTTCACACTCTTTGTCAACATCCATCACCAAATCACATCATATAAAATGTTCACAGCAACAGAACGGTAAATATAAGTACTGTTCCATTCATATGCAGCAATTAACTACCATCAAGGTCTAGCATACAACTATATTTCGTGGGGATAAAAAGTGCACTGTAGAGATCTGCTCAAAGGATATACATGTATTTGTGACACACCACAACTACAGATTGACAAAACAGGCGCAGTATTGTAGACAACATATTGTAGACAAGTTGTCTACATACAACACAAAGATTGACTGTTGGATTTTCAAACCAGTGCTGCAAATTCAGTGCACAATTGATGTTGCTACTGTGATTTTAAGCACAACTGTTTTGCCAGTTTTTAAGATGTAAACATAATGAAAACAGTCTTTTATAATTTATGCCTCTGAAGGACTGAAGCAGTTGACAAACTGCCTGAAGAACCAGCATGCCAACTGTTTCCAGTGATAAAATGGACATGCAATTCAGTTAGTGTAGCTGTGGCACACCACTCATGTCAAAAGACAGTTAGTGGCATTGAAGGGATAATAAATACTAACTCTGAACTATGCTAACTATTGGCCATCAGTCTGTAATTAGCTAAATGCTGGTCAACAATCAAACTTAGCAACAGCCTCCACCAGTTTTGCTGCAGTCATCAGCTGCCCAAATAAGTCTGACGCTTCCATAAAGCACCCTTAGCAAGTTACCCCAAGCTGGTTCACATGCAGCTTTCCTCTAGGATCTATCAGTTACACGGTAGCAGGAAGCAAACAGCATTTTCTATCCATAGGAACTCCATTTCGACAGGCCATTTGCTGTCTATCAGCAACAAACTGTATCATTTCCTGTGCTTCATCCTTAAAGTCAGGTTCTTGCAGAATCCTGTTCAGCACCCAAGCTTTCCCATGTGCTTAGTAATTGCACCAGGGGGGCTCTGAAATGCTTAGAGCAGTTGATAAGAAAATTGATGACAGGCCAGATGCTTATTCGCACTGTTCACTAAAAAAGTAACTCCAAAATACTAGGTGATATTTTCTTACTATTCTTGTTTAATCTAAAATTGACTGTGATTCTTCAGGAACAGCCGGCTAAATCATCATGAAGAATTCTGCAAATGCAAGAGATTTTCCAAATGCTGTAGAGAAGCACACAAGAGTGATTATCTGCACAAAAATATGGTTTTCTTCTGAAGAGCACTTGAAAATTTCTTCCAGATATACTAAGAAATGTACTAAATAAGGTAATAAAGTAATAAAGAAGTACTGTGCACAGCTATTAGACCATGCACGTACACTGTTGTATTATTATGGGTAACTATACTTGGTTTAGAAGCATATATATGCTTTACATATATAAACTTAGCTCACTCTACATTAACAACCAGGTTAAAAAAAAAGAGTACCTATCCTTTCACACATGCTTAGGTCACCATGATAACAGCACTATACTTTTTATATTGTTTCAAAGACACGTACTATTCATGAAGTAAAAGGTCAGCTACAGAGTTCTTAGCAAGTTAACAGAGAAGTTATTTTGGCAGGATAATGGAATTTGTGGAACTATTACTGTAACAATGATTAAACATAGGCTTCCAAGAAATCCCTTCTCACAGGTGAGATGGGTTCCAGGATACAGAACTTTAGTGTAACTTTGCAAAACATAAATCCAACAAAATGAGACCACTTGCACAGGTAAAGAAGGCATAATGGTTGCAGAGAAGCTACTAAATACCAGGAGTAAGCACATAGATACCGAGCAAGACACTGAATCAATATCAACACACCCTGGATTCTACAGGAATCAGATGAAGAGGAAGCTGCATTAAAATAATAAAGTGGGATCTCTAACATAAAGGGTATTCATATGTGGTTTAAAACACACCACGGGTAGCTTGCGACCTGAAGCTACCTTACTACTGAGCATCTTGTATTTCACCATGTACGTCTCTACTTGATGATACGCCAGTTGTTCCCAGCTGCGTGCTCAAGAGCTGCAGTATACCCACTTCTCCTATGCCTCCCTTACGTAGATCTCCAGAATGCTCAGCACTTACACCTCCAACACAAAACTGAACAGCCTGGGAGAGGCAGGGGGGAGGCCAGGAATGAAGGTGGGGCACCAGCAGGAGAGAAGCGTTTTTAGCTGGCTTAAGCAGCAGCGTCCCAAAGAGGATCCGTGTCTCCAGCAGCTGCACAAGTGCCCCTACCCGCTTCTCAAGTACCCCTACCCGCTTCTCAAGTACCCCTACCCGCTTCTCAAGTACCGCCGCTGCAGCGCTTCCCCGCAGCCCCCGAGCAGGCAGCAGCGCACGGGCAGTCCGTGCTCCCACCCGGTAACACAAGGCAGGGAAAACGCGTTTCGCAACCCGCCCTAAAGGACGCCGCTCCTCCGGAGATAAACTTCCGACGCGGAAGCCCGGCCTTCCGGTCTCTTCTCGGCTGAAACCGTCACGCCTTGCCCCAGGCCGAGCAGCGCTCCCGTCCCCGGGACGCACCGGCCAAAGGGGCTGGGAAACGGTCGGGGCAGCGCTAACCCAGCGCACCGCTCCCCACCGGCAGGACACGGCTAGGCCACCCCTACCTCCCTCAGCCCTCTGGTGGCTCAAGGGGCAGGGGGAGTGCAAACCTACCGGTAGGCCTAAAACCTCAGCACAGCGAAGAGAAACGGACACCGGCGCCCTGAGGGAACCGGCTGCCGCCGACGCGCCCTCCGTTCCCCTCGTACCTTATAGTAGAAGACTGCTTCCTGGTAGCGGCCGCTGTGGTCCCGCTGCACCGCCAGCTGCGCGAACCTCACCGCGTCCAGCTCGTGCGCAGTAGCATCCATGGCCGGCTCCCTCCCGGTACCGCCGCCAACGGCAGCGAGCCCCACACCAAGCCCTCCGCCTCCCTGACCCCGCCACAGCCGGCGGCTCCGCCCCCATTCCGCCCGCCTGCTCCCCTGGGCACGCCCGCCTGCCCTCACTGAGGCTGCCCCGGGGAAGCGCCCAGAGCGGTGCCCCGTGCTGCGGGGTTTTGGGGTGTAGGAGCGGGCGGGAGTGAGGGTCGGGGCGGTGGGAGCAAGGGGAGGGCAGGGTGTGGGAGTGAGCTCAGGGCACAGGGCGGCAAGAGCATGGAGAGGGTAAGGAGCAGTGGGAGAGGGGCAAGGGCATGGGGTGGTGGGAGAGAGGAGAGGGGGCACAGGGCAGCAGGAGTGAGGTGAGGGCACGGGGTGGTAGGAGCGAGACGAGGGCAAAGGGTGGGAGTGAGGAGAGTGCAAAGAGCAGTGGGAGCCGGAAGAGGGCACGGGGCAGCAGGAGCGAGGCAAGAGCGCAGGGCAGTGGGAGCGAGGTGAGGGTACGGGGTGGCTGGAGGGAGGAGAGGGCAAAGAGTGGTGGGAGGGAGACGGCACGGGTGGTGGGATCAGGTGGGGGCACAGGGCAGTGAGAGTGAGGGGAGGGCATGGGGCAGTGGGAGCGAGGCAAGAGCACACGGCAGTGGAAGCGACGCAAAGGCAAAGGGCGGGAGTGAGGTGAGGGCATGGAGTGGTAGGAGCGAGATGAGGGCACAGGGTGGTGGGATCAGGTGAGGGAACGGGGCAGCGGGAGGGAGGGGAGGGCACAGCGTTGTGGGAGCAAGGCAAGGGCAAAGGGCGGGAGTGAGGTGAGGGCACGGGATGGTAGGAGCGAGGAGAGGGCAAAGAGCGGTGGGAGCGAGACGAGGGCATGGAGTGGGGGGATCAGGTGAGGGCACAGGGCTGTGGGAGCGAGGCAAAGGGCGGGAGTGAGGTGAGGGCAAGGGGCAGTGGGAGTGAGGTGAGGGTACAGGGTGGCCGGAGTGAGAACAGGACAAAAAGCAGTGGGAACAAGACAAGGTCACGGGACAGCGGGAGCAGGTGAGGGCACAGTAGCGGGGAGAGCGAAGTGAGGGCACAGGACAACAGGAGTGAGGCATGGGCACGGGGTGGTGGGAGCGAGACGAGGGCATGGAGTGGTGGGATCAGGTGAGGGCACAGGGCTGTGGGAGTGAGGTCGGCACAGGGTGGCGGGAGCAAGGAGATGACAGCAGTGGAAGCGACTCAAGGGCAAAGGGCGGGAGTGAGGTGAGGGCAAAGAGCAGTGGGAGCGAGACGAGGGCATGGAGTGGGGGGATCAGGTGAGGGCACAGGGCTGTGGGAGCGAGGCAAAGGGCGGGAGTGAGGTGAGGGCACGAGATGGTAGGAGCGAGGAGAGGGCAAAGAGCAGTGGGAGCGAGACGAGGGCATGGAGTGGGGGGATCAGGTGAGGGCACAGGGCTGTGGGAGCGAGGCAAAGGGCGGGAGTGAGGTGAGGGTACAGGGTGGCCGGAGTGAGGACAGGACAAAAAGCAGTGGGAACAAGACAAGGTCACGAGGCAGCGGGAGCGATGTGAGGGCATGGGGCAGTGGGAGCAGGTGAGGGCACAGTAGTGGGGAGAGCGAAGTGAGGGCACAGGACAACGGGAGTGAGGCGAGGGCACGGGGTGGTGGGAGCGAGACGAGGGCATGGAGTGGTGGGATCAGGTGAGGGCACAGGGCAGTGGGAGTGAGGGAGGGCACAGTAGCGGTAAGAGCAAGGGGAAGGCACAGGGCTGTGGGAGCAAGGCAGGGCAAGTGGCAGGAGTGAGGTGACAGCGGGGGGCAAGGATCGGACACAAGGTTAAGCTGATCTCAAACTACAGTTAGCAGCCCAATGGCACTGGCAGCTGAGACCAAAGACACTGCTTTTATAAGTGTCTTATAAAAAACCCAAGTACCAAAGAGGGAAGCTCAAGTGGATTTTATTATAGTTATTAGAATGTACAGGTACATTAGTGCACTGGTTCTCGTTTCATTTCTCAGACTGAACACAGCAGTCAGACACTGAAGTACTTCTATCAGCTCTTTGCTTTTAGAACCTTTAAGAATGTATAATGTGGGACATCTTTAAATCGTCTTCTGAAAAGATTCTTAAAGAACAATGTAGTCAAACCCAGGCTAAACGATTTCTTCACAGACTGGCATTTTGTGGAAATGGTATAGATACAAAACATCTTTATTAAAAGAAGTGATTAAGAAGTGCTAACAGAGTGGTAAGATACAGATAACCAGTTTTATCATCACCTTTGCAGTCTTTAAAGACCATTCTATTCCATGATCTGGAAACAGTCCTTGAAAACTTCATTATAACACAATTTCTTTATTACAAATATTTACATACTATATATTAGTGCAGCCTCTATTTCCACACTTTAACGATTCCATCCCTTGATGCAGTTACTATAAACCCTTGCGTAGTCTGGAAAGTTGCGATATCTGTGATAATATCATGATGTCCAACTGGGAGAGACTCTGGACCTTTCCGAGGGGTCTCATCAGTGGGCCCCAGTTTTTGTTTGTTTTGAATTTCCTGTACAAAAAACAAAGTGAGAAATATTATTTACAGAAGGGTGAGCTGTTGCAAGGGGGAACTGTCACACATACTAGCTTCTCAGTGTAAAAAGACCAAAAAACTCTTAAACCAAACCAAATACTCGAACACAAAAACTCCCACCCTTGGAGAGTTTTCTTATTATTACTCCTTGATTCACTTCTTTTCATCACACACAACCTAATTCTTAATCTGGACTGACATTACAGCTGTAACTAGGGATAATTTTTTTTCCTCATATTTATTTCAATTACACTTACTTCTAAGATTTGATATTCCTATAGGGGAAAAAGAAGCTACAGAGACACATACATCTCCTCAGAGGCTTTATAAAACTGGTTCAATAGAATGAATGTAATTATTCAAGAACTTCAGATGAAGCAGCACTAAAATATCATAGTGCACAGGCAGACCCTCACTGACTTTTCTTCCAGTCACCTTTGAAGTAGCATTAATTCAACTGAACTGGAACAAAACACAGTGCTTATTCAATAACTAGCAACACTGTCAGTTCCAAAAGTCACTCTCAGGTGTGTAATAAAACCCACAAAGTTCTGCTACCATATCATTTTGGGGCCAGTACATCTCACACTTGCTGAATCCTACACAAGAGACATCCCAAAGACTGATCAAAGTCAAAAGTGTTAAAACACTAGATTTCAATAGCCAAAAGAAACATGTAACTCTGGCCTGAAAACGCAAGGCCAACACCATCCGTAAAAGATAAAAGTAAGATAATTATAATTAAAGCTACCATGTAATTAACATGACCCACTGGGCCATCCAAAAGGCAAGGAGAATAGATGTCTGTCAAACAAAGCAAAATACCTGAACCACCTCTGTGCCCTCAATTATCTTCCTGTAGTAGGAAACAGATGGGCAATTAGAACTTCCAGCAACAACATATGATCTCTCCGGGTAGGCAAGATCCCAAAACCTAAATACAAAGAAACAAAAATTAAGATGAGATGTTCAATTTTATCATATTAATATAGCTGTTTAAAAGCTGGTACAAACGTTATTTCCCTTCTACACAGTAGAGTGTGCATAGATACCAACATTCATATCAAGCTTACACATGATTTATATTGCCAATGCAGTCTATCAAGAACTTTACAGAAGGGTACATGTGTTTCAGAGAAGCACCAAGTTTTGCACTACTTTTGCTGAGAACAATTCTCTCTGTTTACTGATGCTTACTAAATGAACACATCTTCAGCAATATTGTTTTGACTTAGGCAATACTTGGCAAAATTTAGCACATCAGCAGGGGTGTAGGGAAGAGTGTCAAACAAAATAGTTGCTAGTTTTATTACCTTATTTTCATGTCTGAGCCTGCTGTCAGTAATATGGGATTACCAGATGCTGGGCTACAGTATATTCCATGGATGCTGTGAGGAGAAGGCTAGTAGGGAAAAGGGATATATAAAAATAATATATTACCAATAGCTGTTGCCATGCTTCAGAAAGGGAATTCATTCTTTACCACATTCATCCACTCAATTCCCAAATCTTTCTGACAAATGCCAAGTTACTTCAATGGGCCACATCTTAATATATTAAGGTAAATTGCTTCTCTACATTTTAGAGAGCAATGCAGCAGATTTAATGCTTGTCTGGAATCTTGGAAATTACATTCTTAATGACAAATGGAAGAGATTATTTCTAAAAGAATGGGAAGGCAAATGATACTGAAAAGCACATGGACGTTCAATTTTTATGGTATGATGGCATTAAGGGATGGATATACAATGGAAAATTAGCTTCAATCATAGAGCTTCCTGTGCAAAGGGCATGATCAAAATAAACTCAACTTTCAATCTTTATAGCCTGTACAAATTCAAGTTTAGGTAGATTCCAGATCTACCTAACCAACATAGATTCCAGATCTATAAACCAACTTAGAAGCAGCTGTAATTATTTTGTGTATGTATTTGTGTTTTAAGAACAATAAATATCCCAGATTGCTCCTTCCCCAGTTAAGTCCCTGAAGAAGAGCAAATTCATGCTTTAAATTAGCAGCTCAGTATAGTAGTGACATTGTATTACAGAAGGAATGTGCAAAGAGCAGATGCTAACAGAAGCATTCACAATCCCAGAAATAGCATGTAAAAGTAAGTACAATGCCACACCATGAGTTTTGGCTTTGCCCTGATCTTCACAGGTTTGACAGGCTTCCTGGTTTTCTAAGGACATGACTGGATATAGCAAGTGAGTGTTACAAGTACGCTCCACACACAGCAGAAGATACCAGTGAAGGTTCAGGTTACACTGCTGTTTTACAAAGGGAATTTGATTTTGACACAAAACAATTACGATGCCAAAATAAATCCCAGGGCAAGTTCAGGTGCCAAACTGCCTCAGCCATGGAAACACATAACTGTGCTGATGCACAGCACGGAGTCTGAGATTGTTCTAGCCCTGGCTACACAACTGAAACTGGAAAAGAAGGAAACCAGACCTGCAGTT